GGGCCTGCCCACCTCCTGTGTTAACCGGCCGACATTTGTTTTCGAAGCAGGGAAAGGTACTGGTGGTTTAAGCCACCTCACTTCTACCACTTGTACCACTCCTTATACCCTTCCATAAGTCTGTACTGGTGCCCACCATGGGTATACAAGGGTGTATATTACCCCTTATACCCTTCCGTAATTCTGTATAGACGCCACCATGGGTTCGTATTACTTCGTACCACTTGTACCCTCATTAAGTCACCCCACTTATAACACTTACCCTTCCATAAGTCTGTATAGCCGCCACCATGGGTATACAGGGGTATAAATGGGCCTGTACCCCTTATTCCACTTATACCCTCCACGCACCCTTCCATATCATACTAATGTGATCCCTACGCTGCAAAATCACATTCGTCTGCATAGTAGCTACATCCCTCTCGGGCCCTGCTTTCCGTAGTGTAACAGTTAAGCGAGCAATAAGATGATTACGTCTTCTTCTTCTTCTTCTTCTTCTTCTTCTTCTTTTCTTCTTCTTCTTCTTCTTTTTTTCTTCTTCTTCTTCTTCTTCTAATATCTAGTCGTAAAGCCCTGTTCTTCGAGCGTTGCCACTTGGGGGTATATCCTTAGGGGTTTATTTCCAAAAGATAACCCCCTGATGGAGTTTAATACGTGCAAGGCTTGATCTTTGGGGGTATATCCTTAGGGCACTGATCTTTGAGGGTTTATCCTTTGGCTACAGAAGTAACGTTGAACTGAACAAACATTGTATCAAGGGTTCGAACCCCATTTCCCCTGTTCCGTCGGGGGCATATACAAAAAAAAGAAGGGATTGAAGAACGCATGTTTTGCAAGAGCTATAACAAGATTACCCCTTCCCGATCCGCAATGTGGAGCATTGGTCTTTGGAGGATTTATATAGGCCGCTCAAACCATCACCACCTTGCTAGAGATGGCGCAACGCACGAGTACACTATTTTTGAAACTCTCCTTCTTCCAGTTCGTCTCCACAGACCTCACTATTACAACACAGGCTCAGCCTTCCAAAGATCAAATCAAATCCTCTTTCTGTTTTTCTTTTCTTTTCAATTTTTTTCAATTTTTTTTGTTTTGTAGAGGTCGGTTTCTGGACCCACGACAGGTACCTATCTAGATACAGTCAGCAACTAACTTATGGAACCCAGACCATCCTATCTTGGAGGATCCCCCTCCCCCTCTTACAGCCCCTACTGCAGGGGCACCCCAACGATTCCCATCTCCAAGTACCGGTACGACAGGCTCGTCGGACTATGCTTCAATAAGGGCTGGGAAGGGAGGTGGTGACCCGCTTAGGGGGTGTCAGTAGAAGAGGGTGATGCTCCTAGGAAGGACCTTGGGAGCAGTGATATGCCAGGGACAGGAATGATGAGCAAGGGTGGGAGAGTCTCATAGGGGGCCTGTATAGAAAATCATCTGGATGATCAAATAAATGGCCAACTGCTTAAGGGACTGTCGTATGCCTAGCGGCTAGCCACCAACACATATAAGTATGCATGCTACGTCACGAGTTCTTTGGAGGATGCTTCTCCAAAGCGTACTGTGTTTGCTAAGATAGAGTTATGGATAGGGCTCCCCTGGTGGTAGTGGTGTCTGCTCTTATCAGCACCACTAGCATCGGTGGGGGTGTTTCAAAAAAAAAAAATAATAATAATAATAAAAAAGATAGAAGCAATTGGTAAGATGATACTAAGATCGTAAGAGAAGTGTGATTATCATTCTATGTGTTCTGTGCACCCTCGAACCGATTGTTAGAATCCATTGCGACAGAGAATAGACGAAGGTTATGGTCAGTCCAATATGATTCTATGCTAGGCTACCAGAGTGGGCCGGGTGCACTTGCCCGGCCGGGCCAAAAAGGGGGAAAAAAAAATGAAAAAATAAAATTGTTTTTTATTTTAAATTTTTATTTTAACTCTGGTAAAGAAGTTCGATGTGACCCTGAGGCAAACGTTGTTCAAAAACAGTTCAACTTATTTGTCTGCATAATATACTATTTTTTTCGGATTTTTTGGATTCTTTTGTTTCTTTTTTGGCTGGGACCTTGCCTAGTCCTTGCACCGCCGGGCCGCCCGGAAAAATAGGGTGACCCAGGCGGCCCGGCTGGTAGCCTTAGATTCTATGCGTTTTCTACTGCACTCGCAGGCCGCAGAAAGTGGCCATCTTGACTTAGGGCCAGATCCCACTGGCAACGAGGATTGGAATGAGTGTCTGAATCTGGGCGTCTTTGTGGCGAGGTGCAGAAAACTGTGATTGATCTCCTTTACTGCATCTCTCCGTGGAACACGTCCAGATTCAGATTCTTATTCCAATCGTCCCTCCCAGTGGGATCTGGCCCTTAGTAAATTCCGTCAGTGGCAGGCCTCAGGGTATTCCACAGCTGACCAATTCTGTAGAGTGATCTGATCCCTTTTGGAACAACTTGTTAGCTATGCGTTTTGTTTTTGCATTTTTTTTCCCCTCCGGTCTGATCGTAATGTTAAGGCCTGAAAGGCCGTCCTGTCCAGATTCGACAGGTAATTAAATTGGCTGGGCTTAAAGAATTAGTTCAGTTGAATCAATTAGCCATTAAAAAAAAAAAAAGATGCAGTTAACAAAGCATGAGTGTGAGGATGCCTGGAGGATTAATAAGTCTATACAGTTCACAGAACGACGAGAGAGATAAGAAGAGATCATCAGACTTGACGATAATCGACCTACCTTCTTCCCCCGAATACAACGTACGATCATTATGGCTGCATTTGGCACAACTTTCAGTCTAGATACAGAGCTATAATGACCGTACGTATTCGGGGAAAGAACTTATAGATCGAGACGAGAGAGATAAGAAGAGATCATCAGACTGGACGGTAATCGACTTGGGGTCAGATCCCACCACCCTGGATTATTCATTTTTCACCCTCGATTACAAGGATCAACGGTCAGAAATGGACAATAGGGGCTAGTGGGATCTGGCCCTTACATAGCGACGAGAGAGATAAGAAGAGATCATCAGACTGGACGATATTCGACTTAAGAGTGTTAGATAGCCATCGAAGTGTTAGATAGCCTACAGGCCGAGAGGCTGCCTACACGCCGTATAATAGCAGCAAAGTACTGCTGCCTACGGGCCAAATATATGTACCCCCGGCTTGGATACCAGTGAGCTCAGCCGTAACACAACACATGGGCCCGTGCTAGCTCTTCATTCGTGGAAGGATGTGGGCGACGTCGTACTGCAAGGTTCACCATAGCGATGACCCGTAAAAACGCCACAGAAAGTGCTTGAACGGACGTACGCTTTCAAATGCGGAGTTTGCTTAAGCTGTGCGAAGGAACATCAATGGAATACGTTCCCGGAAGATTTTCAAGGTTCACGCTCTTCGTGAGTCGATTAAGTTCGATGAAACTTGCACAGCCTGCTCCCAATGAGTAGATTGAAGCCTTGTCCGGTTGTGCCGTTCACCGTCGTCAAGGGGTAACTCTAAACGGCGGACAGACATCGATATGTTCTTCAAAAAAAAAGGAACTAGTCCGATGAAAATTGGTCACAGTTGTGCTTTATTATGATAGCATTGTTATGCACACCCACACAC